AAATGCTTAAAAGCTCAAATCACATAACCCCAGGCTATGAAAACAAAAAGGGACCCAATATCCACTAATAGCCAAGCAGGCCCTGCAGCAAAAGCACGTAGCGTAGGGAAAATGGTTTGCATTGATCGTGGCTCCCCGCTGCCACCCGCTCCCTGCCCCACGATGCCTGTCTGCCCGCTCCAGCCTTGGCGCTGGCAAAAAAGGGATAAAACCCCACGGGAAGCACCAGAATGGGGGAGCCCAGGTAATGGGGGCAAAAGGATGGTTTGCAGGATTAGTGTGAGATCCCACAGAAAAGCCATCCTCCTCCTGCTCCCCACCGCACTGTCCTGGCCAGCACAGTCATCAGGGCAGCGAGCTCCCCGGGATGGTGATTGCTGCTGACAAATAGTGATGCCAGGACCAACACATACACTGGCATGATGCCGAGCTCCCCCGGGGTGGATGTAGGTGCAGGGAAGTTGTCCCTGCAGTTAGTGCTGGGCATGCAGGGGACCACAGATGAATTCCCACGTGTGCAGGGTAGGACCCGCTCATGAGAGACTGTGGGAACCTGCAGCTGCAGGACAAGGTGCAAGGTGGGAGGTTCATCCCAGCACGACTGAGTGAAGAACTACAGCACTTTTCTTGAGCCTCTTCCTCCATGCCGCATCCTATGGCTGTCTGGGAAAGGCTGAGGGCAGCCAATTCCAATTTCCTTTGGAATTTTGTGGCTCCCTGGCAGCCTACAGGTAGCATTGGAGGACTTGGAGAACAGCAGCAAAGAAGAGAGGACATCAGTTTGAGAGCTGGGGTCTTTGTCCCAGCCAGAAAAGTTCTTAAGGGTCTGCAAAAACAGGCATCAGGGCAGGTCCATGGTGGCAGAGTTTCTCCAATGGACACATAAGCTACAGAAGTCTTGTCTCTGAACCAGACTGCTGCACTTCAGCAGAGTCTTTTTGTCTCTCCCTCCCCTGAGCGGTGGGCACAGGGATGCCTACATACGGGTGGAGAGGGCTGCAGTGCTGGTTTGTACTGGGATGGGAAACCAGCTGGACCGAGCCCCTTCCCACAAACGGCTGCCACAGACCAGGAGGAGGCTCAGGGAAAAGGAAGAGGTCTGGAAGGGTTTGGCCCTCTGTCCAGCTTCAGCCTGGAAGGAGCCAGTGAAGCTGGGGTGTGGTGGTGAGCCACGTGGCTGGAGCATGGACAGGGACCATGGCTGCTGCTTCCTCCAGACAAAGAGTTGGGGGACATCAAAAGGCCTTGTGGGGACCAACAGACTCGGGAAGCTGAAGGATGAGGCTCTGTGCAGTGTGCAGGGAGCTCCCTGCTGCAGGATGCTTTGGGAGCTGAGTAGTTCCAGATTTTCAAGAGAAGCCCATGCAGATTCACCGTGGGGACGGTCACTGCCGTGTGCTGCCCACAGCATCACCCGGTCTGCTCTAGGGATGCACTGGGACAGCTGAGGGCTTGGGAGAATTGGAGCAGTACCATAGATGGTTGCCCCATGTCCTGGGCATCTGCTTTTGACCATTATTAGAGACATGAGCATGATGGAGGTTTGGTGTGATGCAGTTCAGCTGCCCAGGTGGTTGTACGCACATCTCTGCATCCCTGGGTCTGGAGCCCAGGCTGGGGCTGAGATTTTTTAAGTACTGGAGCATCAGGGAGTGCAGATCTCTTTCTTGGGCATCTCTCCCTTCCTTCTTCCCTTTGTCTCTCCCTCTCTTTCTTCTCCCCTTGCCACTCCGCTCCCTCCATCTGACCATTTTCCCCCTCCCCTCGGCGGTCCTGGGGAGGAGAGCAGGGATGCTGCAATTCCCAGGCACAGGTGCACGGTCCTCGCCGCGCGCTGCCCCCAGGCACGGCCCCCGCCGCCGCAGCTGACAGCCCACTGGAAATAATGTGTTGTGGCAGAGAGAGACTCAGCAGACCACGAAGATCTGCTGGTGCGGGAACTGCTCAGCAACCAGGAGCCGCAACGCCTGTCTCCCGGCTCCGCAGGGCCTGATCCGGCTCTGGGGATGCCTCCGCTCTGCCAGAGCCCACCTGGCTCATATGCCGGGCGCTTTCCCACCCTCTCCCCTTAATTTTCTTTGGTCTTTCCTCTTCTCCTCGCTCACTGTTCCTCTCTGCAGCATTTGGGAGGTGGAAGCAGCCAAGCTGCCCGTCCCTGCCGGGTGAAGGAGGAGAACGAATGGCTTTCACAGCAGCATTGGAGGAGGACAATCAGGTGTGCAAGAATGGAACAACCAGTTCCAGTCTCCCAGCAAAGATTTAACTTGCCTCTGGCATATAAACAGCAAATATTTGTTCAACTGACCTGCAAACAGGCGGCGTGCATTGCAGCAGGGCCAAGACACCCGGCTCCCCGCTCAGCCGCTCTTTGTTTCTTGCCCCCTAGCAGGGTGGGTGTATGGGGACATGGGGCAGGGGACCAGGGCACAGCCACGTCCAGGATGCTCGGGGCACCCCAGGCTCGGTGGCTGGAGCCAGGGAGCGGTGCTCAGAGGGTCCCCATCCTGCAGAGCCGCTGCTGCATCCCTGCTGCTCCCCCAAGCATCGCAGCGGGTGGGCAGAGCTTTCACAGCTCACAGGCGTGACGCACGCAGGTGTCTGAGGGCTCAAGGACAAGAGTGTCCCTCCAGGCAGGCGGGCAGGCTGTCACTCGCTGCGGTGAACCTGCAGGCAGGAGGCCCTGAGCTCTGCCAGCGCATCCCACTGTGGTGGGAGAAATCAGCCTTGGCTGCTGCAGGTCAGGTCTGCACCCCGGGAGCTCCCCTCAAAACCCCAGGGGACACAGGTTCATTACAAGATGTTTTTCTCTATTTTCTGCAAGACCAGATCTTAGCGGCAGGGTCAGCTTCCAGCTCAACTGACACGCGGGTGTGCAGAGGACTGTCCCCACAGCATGGCTTGTTCCCTGTCCCCATCGCAGGCAGGAGATGCTCTCTGCTCTTTGATGACAAACCTCAGGAAGAAAGAGCAAAGGGTCCTATGCAGGTAATTCCCTCTCCTGCCATGCTCCCAGGGGAAGGTGCAGGCAGGAAGAGTGGGTAGCAGAGCACAGAGCATCCTTCATCCCAGCACAGCCACCTCCTGGGCATGGGGCTGGAGGAACCGTCCCTGGGGCCACCACTCCTGCAGGGGACGCGGTACTCCAGGCTGTGGCCAGAGCAGCGATGTGTACCTGGAGTGGGATGCTCAGGGGAGGAAGCACAGGGCCGTGGGGGGAGCAGCCAGCCCCGAGGATGTGGGCTGGCCAAGGGGAGCCATCTGCAGCAGCCACGCAACCAGCCCCGGGATGTGGGGAGCATCGCAGGGCTGCATGGAGGCCCCCTTCCCTGCCCATCCTGCTCTGCTCCCAGCTCTTCGGCCCCGCTGTGCTCATCACCCCCAGGAGCTGCAACGCTCCCCCCAAGCCCTGCGGGGAAGCCCCCCAGGCCATGGGCAGAAGGATACAGGGTATGGCTGGATGTGCTCAGGTCTGGTGGGGAGAGGTGCCTGTTGCAGGGGTTGTTACCTCCTCGAGCCACCGCCTGGTCCTGGCTGCCCTGAGCCACAGTGTGTCCCAGTGTGCAGAGAAGTGCTCTTTACCTTCTCATCAAAACATGTCCTTCACCCCAAAAGCCAGGGAGCAGATTGTTTCCCTGAATTGCTCGAGATGCCACACTGTCCCCTTCTCCTGCCTGGGCTAGGTGTCCCCAAGCTGGCCTGGATGGTAGAACTCTGCCCTAGGACCTGCCACAGGGGGGAAGGATTTGTCCCTTGAGAAATGAGCCCTACCCATGCAGAACAAGCCCTTCCCAGGAGAAATGCAAGGTTTTTTTCTAATGGGGAAAAAGCCAACACATCCCTCCAGGCCAAAGCAGTGTCTGGAGGGTTGACACTGGTGTGTGCATCAGTGTGGGGTGCCCTGCGACTGCAGATTGCTGCTCGGCCATCTGTGCAGGAGCCCAGCTTCGTCAGCGTGGAGCCCCTGCAGAACCAGCCCCTCTGGGAGGTGAGGAGCCGGGTGCTGAGCTCCCCTGCCTGCTCACGGGACTGGGGGGGGACACAGGCTGCGGGGCAGGGACAAACCCGCCAATCCCA